GACCGAGAGACGTGAAGGATTGACAAATGACTTCGAGCCGGGTATCAAACTCAGGTCGCCGTAAGCACCTTTGGTGCTATGTGTCATTGCACTTAACCACTTGCCAATTTGCGCTGACATCATTATTGATTTTAATTCATTAACTAACATTTACTAATAATACTTTATTGTAAAATTCTCAAAGATGACAATAAAAAGTACAATAAAATTGAATGCAAATTTCTCTTTAAAATTATTTTGCAATTAAGTTTGTTTAAAACATTAGTTTACTCTGAACATGCATATGAGATGAAGCAATACACTTAATATTTTCTTATTAATTAACCTGTTGATACAATTTTTTTTTTTTTTGCAGCCTATCTCAATACAGTAATAAAATCTTCAGCATTGAATCATATTAAATCAAACTTGATATAAGCCGCCGTAAGCCTATAGTGTACATCTGCAGTACAAACTATTCCCTCAATTGTAGTTAGCAGGAATTCCGGATCCATTTCAGAGTCCCACTTTCTGTCCTTTAATAGGCTCCTATTTGAACGTAATCATCATTTGGCTTGACATGAGCCCCTCTTCTTCTTAATCTAGATCCGAAAGTCTGTCTTCCACAAGGAAGATGAAGGCATTTTTCCTCCATTAGCCACACACTGGATTGCAGGTTTCTCCTCAATGCTCTGATTGTTGTCCAAAATATAATTGCAGTTATCGTATGACTCTGCACATACATAATGTGAGCACTATGAAATATTCATGAGCGAAATAGTGTGTGTAGTGTGTAACCTGAGACTCTTGGGGATGTTGTGTAATGGGGCAGAGGAGCGTAATCAGGTTGTGTTACACAAGCGGGTTTCATGGGCGACCGCAGACAATATTGAAGAGACAGAAGTGACGTTTGAATGTGTGTGTGTGTGTGTGTGTGTGTGTGCTGTAGGACAGGTGGAACTGTCAGGTGTGATTAATGAAGGGCCTGAAATGTTTAAGCATGCGTATTGGACATGCACGTGCACACACTTCTCCCATTTTCCCACAGTCTCTCAGAAATTCAACCAATCAGCAACACCCCTCACCCCAAAGTTCAAGTCTTTTTCTTCAAACTTGCTGAGAGTAACCCCAACATCTGTCTAAACATGTCTGAAATTGTTTAAAACAGCAAACCCTGCAGTACTTTTTATTATTCAACTTTGTTATTATTAAAGTACTTTTTTGGGGGCAAATTCATTATAGAGTTTCTTCTCACTTTTCCTTCTGCTTGCATTTGTTATCCTTGTAATCGCTTTTGCCAAAACATTCTGCCCTTTTAATTAAATTCATAAGTCGACACCGCTTTATCTCTCGCAGCAGTCGGGTCGGGAAACCAGATTACGCCGCTGTCACACTTTTCTCTTGCTTATTTCTAAATCGTTAAGGCACTTAAAAACTGGTAATTGCATGAAAACAAACTACACGGGGAGACATGATACGGGGCCAAATAAAGGATTTCTGGTATATTCATTTTGTTTTAAATACTGCACGGTTAGTTCAGTTACAGAAACTATTTTATAATATATACACTCACTATATACACTCACTCACTGCCTACTTTATAAGGTATGCTTTTATAGAACTGAACTAGACCCCTGTTTCCTTCAGAAGGGCTTAATTCTGAAATGGACAGCTCACTCAAGCATTTAAAATCTAAAGAAAATTAAAGATACAAAATGAGATATTTATAAGTATGCTGTAAACCTGTAACCATTGACTCCTATAGTATTTGTTTTTCGACTAAGGATGTTACACATTTCCAACATTCATCAAAATACAGTTCGGTCCATAAATGTTGGGACATCAACACAATTCTAACATTTTTAGCTTTATACGCTAACACAATTAATTTGAAATTAAACAAACATGATTTAAAGCACAGCCTGTGTAAACTGCAGACTGTCAGCTTTAATTTGAGGATATTTACAACCAAATCAGGTGAACGGTGTAGGAATTACAACAGATGGCATATGTGCCTCCCACTTGTTAAGGGTCCAAACTAACACTACAATAAACTATATAAAAAACTTAATAATAAACTAAAAACTTGCCTCTTAGACTGAGATTACAAAAGAAATGTAATCTGCCATTTTGTAAAATAATTTAGAATTTTATATCCTTGTTTATTGTTTTATCCTTGTTTGTTTATTTAATTATAGTTAAATTTGAGTTGTTATTATTGTTTATATATATATATATATATATACACAACATTTTCATGTGGGGGTCAAGATTAATTTATTTATCAATTTTCTTTTCGGCTTAGTCCCTTTATTAATCAGGGGTCGCCACAGTGGAATGAACCGCCAACTTATCCAGCATATGTTCTACACAGCGGATGCCCTTCCAGCTGCAACCCATCACTGGAAAACATCCTTACATACTCAATCATACACATACACTACGGACAATTTTAGCTTACCCAATTCACCTGTACCGCATGTCTTTGGACTTGTGGGGGAAACCAGAGTACCCTAAGGGTGAAAACATGCAAACGCGGGGAGAACATGCAAGCTCCACACAGAAATGCCAACTTACCTAGCCCAGGCTCGAACCAGCAACCTTCTTGCTGTGAGGCGATTGTGCTACCCACTGCACCACTGTGCTGCTCAGGGGTCAAGATTCAAATTCAAATTGTATGAGTGAGGGATATTATCTTATTACTCTTAATTTATCTTGTCTTATGTACATTTCTGACATGTTTTGCACTAAAAATGTGCAATTAAAAAAAAAAATATATATATATATATATATATAAAAAGCTAAATAATTTTTATATTGAAGACCCTATATTTTCCTCCTCATCTCATTTTGCCCATGAACGTTTACTCCAAACACTCGACGTAGGCCTGCCGATAAGATGTGTTTTCACAGAGAGCGGCTCTATCAACAGCAGGTTGTTTCAAAGCAGCAAAGAGAAACAAAAGCGGCAACTATTTATCAAATCCGTCAGCGTTTAATTGAATGTGAAACGGTGGACAGGAACAGTCAGTCTTTTCATTGAGCTGTCGGGACATGATGAATGGAGCGAAACGTGGAAATGCCCATCTCTCCCATGTCATTCATCAGCCGCGGCGTCACGCACACACGCCAGCCGCCCGCTCGCAGATAAGGAAAGTTTATGAAGAGAATTAGTTCTGAATATGCTCCTAATGAGGTCATTATTTATTTCCAGCCAAACAGCAGTGGAGAAAAAAAAAAATCTAGATTGTTTTCAACCGATCCCTCCCCTCCCCCCGATTCCTAACGTTGCATATTATGTAGTGCTGAAAAATCAAATGAAAAATGGATGCACTTAGCCTACTCTGAGCTTAAGTGTGAGTAAATGTTGTTTATTGTGCTTTAATAGATCTGTCTCGCTCTGGATCCGTTCATGTCATAAAGCTGTCTGTGTTTCTCGGTGCAGATTGAGAACCTGCAGGAGCAGCTGAAGGATAAGGAGAAGCAGATGAGCAGTCTCAAGGAGCGCGTCAAATCCCTGCAGGCCGACACGTCAAACACGGACACGGCCCTCAGCACGCTGGAGGAGGCCCTGGCTGAGAAGGTGGACACCCGCCAAACACTCACGCGTGCACACTAATTCATTTACCGCAGCGCAGATTCATCATTGTCATGTCTCTGTTAAGTTCGCTAGTTCTCAGGTTTGGGTTTGACACTATAGCACATTTTTAACTGGTATTATACTTACCTATTGGTTGGATTAAGTAGATATCTATCGCATGCACAGCTACAAAACTAAGCTATTATTCATTATTTATCATTTAAATTTGGCAGTAATAGCACTCCATATTTATTGCTGTGATTTATTAAATTTTCTTTATTGTTTCTGTTAAGTTCGCTAGTTCTCAGGTTTGCGTTTGACAGAGCATTTTCAATTTAAACTTACCTATTGCATGTATTAAGTACCTATCGCATCCACATCTACAAAACTAAGCTATTATTCATTGTTAATCATTTAAATAAGGTAGTAATATTACTTCATATTAATTACTGTGATTATTATTAATATTTTAATTAGTTTTTTTTATAGACTCTGTTAAGTTCGCTAGTTCTCAAGTTTAGGTTTGACACCATAGCACATTTTCAAATAGCATTAAACATACCTATTGCATGTATTAAGTAGCTATCTATCACATACACATCTACAAAACTAAGCTATTATTCATTATTTATCATTTAAATTAGGAAGTAATAATACTTAATATTAATTTCTGTGATTATAATTATTATTTTTATTTATTTATTATTGTCTCTGTTAAGTTCACTAGTTCTCAGGTTTGGGGTTGACACCATAGCACATTTTAAACTGGCATTAAACTTACCTGTTGGGTGTATTAAATAGCTACAGTTCCTATCACATGCAGTGCAACAAAACTAAGCTGTTATTCATTATTTATCATTTAAATTAGGTATTAATTATACTTAATATTAATTTCTGTGATTTAAAAAAAAAAAAAAAAAATATATAT